CTATGACTCAATGTTTATAAAAATATTCCATAAAAAAAAAAAAAAAAAAAAAAAGTCAAAATAAAGGATTTTATACCCAACAAAACTGTCCTCCTGATACTGTGTTGAGCTAGTTCTTGATAACAGAGAAGAAGCAAGGGGAAGGGCAGACATGATACGCATGTCATTCAGGCAGCTTCACCAGGAAGCTGCAACTTTGCACTCCCCAGGGAAGCAGGGGCCTGCTCCCTGCCAACCACCGGGGAAGGGATCCAACAAAGGAGAGAGAGACACATGCCCCGAAAACTGGGGTGACTAGGGAAAGTGACTGCCAGTCAAACCTGGGAACAGACATCCTGGCCGGATGGATGGGTGTGAAAACTGGGAACACGTAAGCCCCTGAACACAGGGTTCTCTCCCTTGGGGTGCTCGACTCTTGGCTTGCGTCGCTCTTTTGCTCCTGCTTCCTCGAGTTTGCCTGTGGGTCCCGTGGCCATGTGGACCCCACACGCGACAGCCCGATGGACAGCAGCCCGAAGCACAAGCTGAACCAGCCTGGTGCTGGACTGGACTCGGCTCCCTCATGGAAACTCTACACACTGGTTCTGATTTTCGCTCTGTGGAAATCCCAGCGACTCTTTTTCTATGACTAGACCAAGGGAAATGGGACTTTGGAAACCCAGGGATGAAATTCCACAGGAATAAAGATTTCCACCATACCTCATCCTCCTTGGGGGCCTCGGGAAATTCTTTGTCCAGCCATACCCCAAGAACCCCACTCCCACTAGCAACTGGGGGAGAGGAGGAACTCTCCTATCCCGAAACACTTCAAATATCAGCATAGCCAGTCATTTCTGACACATAAGACCTTCGCAGACCTGTTTTTTAATTTTTATTTTTCATTTACATTTAACATTATTTGGTATTTGTTTCAGGTGTATGCCTAGTGGTTAGACAGTCATTTACTTCACAACGAGTTACCCCAAGATTCCAGGACCCACCTGGCACTATAAGTGGTTATGACAATGTTAGTGACCATATTCCCTGTGCTGCACTTCACATCCCCAAGACTGTTTTGTAACCACCACTTTGTCCATCTCAGTCCTCACCTTTTCCACCCAATCTCCTACCCCTGCTCCCGTCTGGCAACCAGCAGTCTGTTCTCTGTGTCTATGGGTCTGGTTCTATTTTGTTTGTTCCTTTATTCTGTTCTTTAGATTCCACATATAAGTGAAATCATATGGTACTTGTCTTCCTCTGACCAATTTCTTTATTTTTTTAAAATATTTTTTTCTTTATTGATTTTAGAAAGAGATTGAAACGCTGATGAGAGAGAACATCGACTGGCCGCCTCCTGCACGCCCCCCACTGGGGATCAGACCCACAACCTGGGCATGTGCCCTGACCGGGAATCGAACCGGTGACCTCCTGGTGCAGGGTGGACGCTCAACCACTGAGCCACACCGGTCAGGCAGACCGATTTATTTCAATTAACATAATAATCTCCAGGTCCTTCTATGCTGCCTCAAAGGGTAGGAGTTCCAGCCAAGTAGTATTTCATTGTGTAAATGTACCACAGCTTTTTTCTACGCTAATCTACTGATGGGCACTTGGGCTGCTCGGATATTGTGAATAACACTGCCATGAACATAGGGGTGCACAGATTCTTTCAAAGTAGTGGTCTGGGTTTCTTCGGCTATATACGCAGAAGTGGAATTGCTGAGACATAAGACAGGCGCATTTTTAGTTTCTTGAAGACTCTCCATACTGTGTCCGCGTGGCTGCGCCGACTTGCATTTCCACCCACAGGGCTCGAGGAAACCGCAGGAGATTCCTCAGCAAAGAGACCGTGGCGAGTGATTCAAATGCACAAAGGTACGTATACAACAGGAACAACACGGGTAAAGGCGGGAGGCTCAGGTACAAACAGTGTACACTGAGACAAAGTGAAGTGAAGCAACTACAAAATGGAGTGGAGCAAAGAAAGAAGGAGGACAAAAGCTCACGGCTGTGTACACAATAGATGGGTATAAAAGGACCCTTAAAAAATAGTCCAGCCCTGGCGGGTTTGGCTCAGTGGTTAGAGCGTCGGCCCAGAGACCAAAGGGTCTCAGGTTCGATTCCCAGTCAAGGGTATGTACCTGGGTTGCAGGTTTGATCTCGGGCCCTGGTTGGGGGTCACACTGGAGGCAGCCAATCAGTGTGTGTCTCACATAGATGCTTCTCTCTCTCTCCCTCTCTCTCTCTCTCTTTCTCCCCCCGCCACACACACCCTCCCTTCCACTCTATCTAAAAATCAATAAAAAAAAATATCCTCTGGTGAGGATTAACCCAAAATAAATGAATACTATAAAACAGATAGTAAAAAATTAGATTAAAAAATTAGAGAACTAGAGGTATTTTTAAAAGGAATATATGCAAAGGTAACCACTGGGCCCTGGCCGGTTTGGCTCAGCAGTTAGAGCGTCGACCTGCGGTCCTGAGAGACCTGGGTTCGGTTCCCGCTAAGGGCACGTAACTCGGTTGCAGTTTGTCCCTGGCCCTGGTCAGTTGTGCGGGTGGCAGCCACTCGATGTGTCCCTTTCACATCGATGTTTCTCTCTCTCTCTCTGTTCCTCTCTCTCCCTCCCACTCTACCTGAACAAAAAATGGAAAAATGTCCTCGGGTGAGGATTAAAAAAAAACAAAAAAACCAAAGGTAACCACTGGAACAAAAATACAAATCTTCCTAAGGACAAATAATAAATGAATTAATAAACACATAAACAGAACACTTAGAGTATACATCTCCTAAAGACACATAGCAAATACAACAGAACATGCATAATGGCAAACTATGGCAATTGAGACAAAACATATCGGTTATATTAATAAGCTTGAATGGATTTACCTCTCTTCTTTAAAGAAAATAGTTTTCCATTTGTCTCACAAAATGAAACCCAAATATGCACTGTGTGCCAGAGACGACCGGAAAGTGATTCAGAGAGGCTGAAAAATGCACACTTTCCCCATTTCTCCACCGAACACAATGAAAAGCCCTGAGCGTTGCGTACGAAAGACACGTGAGAAGTCTCCGAAAGCTGGACAGAGGAGGGCAGACCGGTCAGGGCACTCCAGACTGGAGGAAAAGAAACGGTGAAGGGTCCTTGGCTTTTCTTTTTGGCTCGTATATCCCAGACTTGGAGCGGAGAAAACCAACCACCTAGGAGAGTCAAGGAGCACAGACAAAACAAACCCAGAACCTGCCGTCTCCTGTGGAAGGACCAGGAAGGATCCGTGTAGCAGGACAGAAGTGTAAACACAACAACCACTCTCCTGCATTCAGCACAGACCCACCCTGTGGCTTGCCCCCTCCGGTGCCAGAAAGGCCAGCGGGGGTTGAGACGCTGGCTCCCACGTGCTTCTCCGTACCCAGCAGAGTCTACTAAAGAAATCGAGAGTAATTAGCCTCACGGAACACGATTCATTGTTGGTGTTTGGTTTGGTTTGGTCCATGCTGTTTGTCACGGGGCCTCCAACATTCTAGACCTTTGCCTATTTGGACCCCCGCCCACCGCCTCATGGAGTTGGACTTCGTGTTCGATCTGCAGGCTACGACAGATCCCTCGCATTTAGAGACTGGCCCAGTTTGGACCCCGCTCTTCAGACCTACCGTGGTGCCCTCCACATTCCAAAATTACAGGTGAAATTACTCGAAGTCTCTAATTAGGCTTTCGCTTTTTATTCCCCCTCTATTTTTAAAGTTGTTAAAACAATACCGTTTTTTACTAGACTATTTGTTGAAAGGGGAAAAAATAATATGGGAAAGAAGTAAAAGCTAATACTCAACACATGTTGAAACCACTACCACTAAATATTTGAGTTATTTGCCTATGTAAGGGGAAACCTTACCCAAGCTACTGCAAATAATTTTAAATGATACTGCATAATAATATTACCCAGAATTGGGAATTAGAGTAAAATACTTACTTTCTGATCGTGTAAGATGTCTCAAAGAGACCCAGACATAGTGTAATGTCTCTTCTGAACAGGTTGTACTAAAAGGTATTTTTAATATTCTCAGAAAAAAAAAAATCAGTCATATTTTACATCTGATAAAATAAAATATTTCCTAAATTTGAAAAGTAATGCTATATATTTTTATCCTCTGCTCAATATGAGATGCCTTTGTGATAATACCTTGATAAAAATAAAAATCCATTGCTTTATGATTTTTTGGATATGTGCCGAAGGCACAAACAATAAAAGAAAAAATAGACAAACTGAACTGTTATAAATTTAAAAATTTTATGCATCATATGCATCAAAAGACAATAGTAACAGAGTAAAAGGACAACCCACACAATGGAAGAAAATATTCTCAAATAATATATCTGATAATGGGTTAATATCCAGAATATGTAGAGAATTTCTAAAATTCAACAATAATTTTTTTTTTTTTTTTTTAATCCTCACCAGAGGACATTTTTCCATTTTTTGTTCAGGTAGAGTGGGAGGGAGAGAGGAACAGAGAGAGAGAGAGAGAAACATCGACATGAAGGGACACATCGAGTGGCTGCCACCCGCACAACCGACCAGGGCCGGGGACAAACTGCAACCGAGGTACGTGCCCTTAGTGGGAACCGAACTGGGCCTCTCAGGACCACAGGCCGACGCTCTAACCGCTGAGCCAAACCAGCCAGGGCTCAACAATAATTTTTAAAGATCTGATTCAAAAATGGCCAAAGGACTTGACTAGACATTTCTCCATAGAAGATACACAAATGTCAATAAACACATGAAAAGATGCTCAACATCACTAATCATCAGGGAAATGCAAATTAAAACTATAATGAGATATACTGTCATACCCATTAGGATGGCCATCATTAAAAAAAACCAAAACAGAAAATAACAAGAGTTGGTGAAGGGGTAGAAAAAATGGAGCCCTGTGTACTGTTGAAGGGAAAGTAAAATGGCTGTAGAATGGTATGGCTGCTGTTGAAAACAGTACAGAAGTTTCACAAAAAATTAAAAATAATATACTTACCTGTCAGGGGAGATATCATGATATAAAGGTGATTTTCCTGGGGCGAGGCTTATCCACTACCTCAAGATGTGCTAACCCCTGCAATTTCCCCAAATGTAGGAAACTCAACTGCATGATTTGTGGTAGTTGGGGATTGTGTTCTCACTCTTCCCCAGGAAAAAAAAAAATAGAATTAAACATATGATACAGCATTTCTACCTCAGGATATACACTCAGAGGAATTGAAAGCAGGGTCTCAAAGAGATATTTGCATACCCATATTCATAGCAACATTTTTCACAATAGCTAAAACATAGAGGCAACCCAAGAGTCCATGGATGGGTAAATAGATAAGCAAAATGTGGTTGTGCATAAAATGGAATATTATTCAGCCTTAAAAAAGAAGGAAATTCTGATATATCCTACCTGACATGAGTGAACCTTGAGGACATTATGCTAAGTGAAATAAACCAGTCACAGAGAATGCAAACTCTATGAGTCCACTTATATAATTCACTTAAAGTGTAGCTGGAAAACTCAGGTTTTGCTCCCTGCTGCAAGGAAAGCCAAATTTGTGAGACAGGTGCTGGTGCAAAAGGAAAGTTTTATTCAGGTGTTGCAGGACCTGAGAGAATGGTGGACTCCCATCTCAAAGACCATCTCCTCTTCCTGCTCAAGCCTGTGATTCTTATAGGGATAGGGAAGAGAGAGGTTTTATTTTCTATCCAATATCTTGCTAGCCTTCGGCATGCTTGAGCTCTGTCCATTCATCTTTCTAGCTGTTGGCACGCTCAGTGTGAGAAACTCTCCCTGTGCCATCTTGGCCAGTGAGGAAGATTCTGGTGCTCCAACGGACTGTCTAAGGTAATAAGAGTCCTCGAAAATCATAGAGACAAAAAGTTTAAAGTACTCATGGGACCTCTCGTAAGCAGTCAGAAGTCAGATGGTCAGAGGAGAATGATCTAGAAATAAACTTTAAATGAACCTTAAATGTAATGCTTCCAAATAATTAATTTACTCTTCAGTTTATTCTTATGCCTACTCTTCTCTATCTTGATTTTTCAGTATCTCATCCATTTCATTTTCCAAGTTTAATACTCTTGTTTTTCCCGTCCACAAATCCTACTGATTCTACATCTGCTAGTTTGTCTACATTTAACTGGAATGAAAAACTTTTTTCCTTAATTCCAACTATCACTCAGCCCTAATTCTCTCTCCCTGGGCTCCTGAAAAGCTTCCTCAGGAGGCTTCAGGTCCTTCATTTTTCCTCCTTCCCTCCGACCTATCCTCCAAAATGCTCCCAGCATTATCTTTGTAAAACACTGTTCTGTCTTGTCTCTAACCTAGTTAGGGTCATCGATGACTTTTCATCACTAATATGATACGAATCTACACTGTCAGTATGATTCTTCATCTTTCCAGACGTATCTCTCGTTACCTTTCCCCTCAATGGCAGAAGAAGTTTAAATGATCTTTTTTCTCTTAACACCACGCTTGTCAAATTGGGCACTTAATGAATCTTTTTAAAGTGGAAGAATGAAAAAGCAAGTGTTTTCCTTAACAAACAATATGGGTTTGTGCTCCTTGGTCTTTTGCCCAAGTCCAGAAGACTTCCACATCCATGCCACACGGCTGCTCTCCACTCTCTCTGACAGTGACCTATATGTTCTACCCAGGTATCACTTCTGCCAATGCCTTCGCTCACACCTGCCTACTACATAGCGCCAACAGATCCCTCCTCTTTGACCAATACAGGATGGGGGGGGGGGGAAATGAGGTGTGTAGTTGTGAGTATGTGAAACACAGTTTATTACTGTGTTATTGTTTATTCATTATTATATTATTTTCCTTACAAAAAAAAACTGTAAACCTACTTTTGCCTCACCCTGTAGTATTTTATCATGATAAATGCTATTCCATTCAACAACAAGCAATCATAATTAATTAATTAATATATATCTTAATAGGCTTGGGATAGGAAGGGTATTTCACTCACCTGATGCATTGGCAAAGCTTGGCAGAGAAATGAGCATGAAACAACATAAAATAACCTTTCAATGAATAACGTATCAAAGAGATGAATTGAAAATAAGAAAATTGATATAGGAGTTTTACAACAGATGTCATCATGATATAGCCAGGGCTCATTGCAATAAACATTTTCAAATATTTCTATTAACATAGATTTGTTCTTGACTTAGTTTGCTACACTTTTAATAAATCAAGAATAATTTTATGATCAATAAATTTCCCCAGCCGAGGAGTTCTAAAAAATATTTTGAAAACCTATCACAAGAAGAGTGAACACCAACAGAAAGGAAAAAAAATTTTTCTGACCAAAAAAAAGACTATAAATGTACCCAAACATAGGATTAAAACATATATTTTTCAAAATCAGAAATCTTGGGTATGACTTCTATTGCTTATTTTTCTAAATTTCTGTTTTTCTCATCTTGGAACAGAAATAGAAGTCTCAGTGGACTGTTTCATGGTCTAAACACTGAAGTATTTTTGACTAATTTCTAGACCAAATATACTTAGCTAAGCTTTAGATCAGGAAGCAACTGCTTGTCCAAAAGTAACTCTAACTGCTCATCCATTACAAGTCAATGGACATTAAGAAGTGTTTAGGACCTGGCTATGCATCAGCTTTGCTCTGAGGAGTCCAAGATTTGATTTGGAAAAGAACACATTCCTTTGACAGTCAGTCAACATGTTCTTATAACACAAGACAGAGGGATTTGTGTAGGGTTAAGAGCAAAAGGCATGAAATCATTCTTTATGAGAATAAAATGTTGCACATAGAAACTATAAAGTACAATGTTATCTGAATTATTAAGAATACATTCATATGTGTGTATATAGTACACATATGTATATATGTATGTGTGTATATGTATATTTAATATATGTAATGCGCACACATATGTATCACACATGTAACTCATATGTTCAACCCTCAAATGTCAAGAGAAAATAAGAGCTGAGGTACAATCTACAGAGGAGTAAAAAATTACATCCAGAGCTGAGGAGAGAATAGTTTTGTGGAAGACGCCATGGACAAGCTGGGAAAAGAGGACCCCTCTCCGGGGAGGCTCCTCCAGCTGGCACGTGTATCTAAGGCCACTCTCGTTACATCTCGTGCTTTTATCCAGTTGAGGAGACAAGACTTTGATCATCACCCCCAACTCTCAGCCATGCCTGGCTTAATATGAAGCAGATTTATATGGACCTCTTTCACTTCATAATTCTCTGAAGAGTACTCCCCTACAAGGCCCCAGGAAGCTCCTCAGACGTGCCTTGTCAACCCCAAGGCATTTATTTCTTGGTCACCTCTCTCGTACCCCACAGACGGGGAGCAGGGGTCATTCTCCCTCCCCACTCTGCTGTTTCCTGTCTTCTATGTTCCCATCGTGGTGATAATGAGGAAGCTAAACACCATTTAGAGTCTCTGCTGGGATTTTTAATTTGTCTGCAAATAGCCTTTGGAAAAATGATGTGCCAGGGAGAACATCTGCGGAAACGATAGTAGGCATTTGTCATTCATATCAAAGGGCTACGTTCAGCTCCCCAGAGCTTAGGAGCCGAGTTCCAAGAAGAGCGGAGAGTGGTTTTCCCCAGCGAACCAAGAACTCGCCCTCCTGCCCCGGATGGCCACTGTATGTGGGACCAGCCTTTGTTCTTTATTATTCTTTTTACATTTTTTTCTTTATTGATTTTAGAGAGAGAAAAGAAGGGAGAGAGAGAGAGAGACAGAAACATTGATGAGGGAGAACATCGACTGGACGCCTCCTGCGTGCCCCCCACTGGGGGTCAGGCCCACAACCTGGGCATGTGCCCTGACCGGGAATCGAACCGGCGACCTCTTGGTGCAGGGTTGACGCACAACCACTGAGCCACACTGGCCGGGCCATCTTTTGTGCTTTAATTGGTTGTGTGCTCTTATTCTATAATTCTTTGAAGGGTTTTGTTCCATATGTTGTTGAGGGCCAACTGAGTCAAGACCAGATGCCAAAATACAAGCTTTACATATGTAACCACTCCTGTTTTGCAGGGAAATTTAAAAATCAAGTTCTTTCTTACCTAGGCCAAAGCTTTTTTGGACATCAAATTGCTACTACTCGGTGAACTTGGACAAAGCATTTTAGAAATATTCAAGATGTTTTTTTTATTGCCACTACACTAGTGTAACCCATCTTGGGAAGAACTACAAACGTATCATAGAAATCATCATGAGCAGAAAAGAAGAGTTAAAAAATGTAAAACCAGAGAACAATAAGGCTTGATCTTGAGTTTATTTGGGTTGTTTACAAGCTTACATTTTGTGCCAAGAAAACTGTAGAGGGCATGAAAAACAAAGGAGTCAATGAGGGTGTATGCTTTCATTTTGTGTTTTGATATTTTAATTCTATTCCTCAATTGCTCCAAAACTGCATTCTCTCTTTGTCTTCAAAAGAACTTTATTTTACATCTTATTCACTGTCCCTCCTTGTAGTCTTCAGTGTCCATTTCTGCCTACAAATGTTTGAGTTGCTAGGGGGAGGATCAAAATGAGGCTAAAGAGAGCTTACTAACGAGAGTTAAAAACTATTTCAGCCGTATTAAATTAATTTAGCTTTGTTTATGCGAAAGCCAACTGAAAATGTTATTTGGGTTCCCATGAAGTCAATTGTATTCAGTCATAAGAAAACTTTTATTGAAGAAAAATAAGATGATGTCATCAAAATGGCAGTATATTACATGTAAATCGAAACCAAAGGCTATAAGAGTAGCTAAACTTATATCAGACAGAATAGACTTTAAGTCAAACACTGGAACAAAAGACAAAAAAAGGTCATCACATGATAAAGGGATCAAGTCATCAAGTGAATATAACAATTCTAAATGTATATGCAGACAACATTGAAACACTTAAATATATTAAGCAAATACTAACAGAACTGAAGAGAGAAATAGACAACCACACAATAATAGTAGGGGGTTTTAATACCCACTTTCAACCATAAATAGATCACAGAGGGAAACGTTAGATTTGAACTCCAGCCAAGCTTCACGTGTGACATTTCAGTCGATAACAAAACCACATATACAACAGTGCTCTGGTGAGATTATAACAGAACAATTTCCATCACCTAGTGACTTTGTAGCCATTGTGATTCCGTAATGCAAGAACGCA